AAACTAAACCATGTCTGTATTTGTGGAAGGCTTATTGGATGATGAGTTAGATGCTTATTTCTAGTCAATTAACCAATGACTATACTAGATAGTCCCTAATTTCAAGGACTATGTTAACTATACTTAAATTAAAAATGAGCATACACAAAATTGAATTAGTAAAGTGTTCTTACTGAGTTACTCTAGTTTGCATTCCATTAAAAAATATTTTATTTTTATGAAAAGTCATCCCAGAGCTAATTTCTAAGGAGGCTGAAGCTATTTTTATGTATAACATTGATTAAGTCACACATTGGAGTCAATCAGATTGAGCCTTGTTAATTTATACCTTACAAGCATATTTGACGATTCAACAATTGTCAAATACACATTTGACACATCAAGTGCCCTTAGAAAGTGCATACCCTTTAAGTGATATCCTTCTAGGAATCTATCTAAGAAAAGAGAGACACTGACATTGATTTATATACAAAGATAAACTGCTTAGCAATATTCCTCTCTGTAACTAGAAACAACATTAATGCCCCATAGTAGAAAAGAATTCATTTAGAAATATTTGCCATGTTAAAATGTGTGTATATATATAAAATACTACATGAAAAAGGCAGAACGACTGAAAATACATAAATTCAACTTTAAAACATAAAATTTAGAAGACTGAAAGAAAATATACCAAAATGTTTCTTCTAATTCCTCCCTAATGGGTTACTACATTACTATTATAAATAGGACAAATGTACATTTTGAAGGAAGAGTTATTGTACTTACAAAAAATATTCAAAAGTTCAGATTCTGGAAATAGAATGGAATTTAATTCTGGTTTGTTCACTTACTCTGAGCAAATTATTGCCTCATTTGCTCATTTATTTATGATTTGCATTTTCCTTATTATAAAATTGGAGTAAGAGCTCTAACTCTGAGTTGTGAGAAATAATAATTAAAATGAAATACCTAGAAAAGCATTTAAGACATTAAAAATCTTAATAAGTACTCAATTAACATTAGTCTTTTCCCCTTTCTTAAAATGTATGGCTAAATTAAAAAATATGTACATAAGAGTTTCCTATAGGAGTATTTGTGAAAGTGTAATTTTTAAGTAGCTCTTAAAAAGATTATCCAGATGTATGAATTTCAAGAGAACAGTTCTCCAGCCAAACGGACTAAAAGAATAAGGCTAGTGAATTATTAAAGTGAGACAGTACAGCTGAGGCAAATGGCAAAAGTGGGCATTCAGTGAAATCATCATTTTGGCTGAACTGAGGAAAAGCTGACTGTGTTACAAAGAGTTCATTAGCCATTTAAGCCATTCTGTTAATGGCTTAAATAGATAATTCTTAGAAGGCACCACTTAAAAACAGTATTTCTGCAAAAAAAAGCTTTACTATGGTTATACACACAAAATCTATGCACATCAAATTACCTAAACTTCTTAACCTTCATATTTAAAGTCAGCATATTAAAACCTAAATGCTCAGATTTATATGGGCAAAATAGATCAATGTTTTTCTAACTGCAGGTTGCTACCAGCATTTAAAAAAACAGATTAGAGAGAACAAATAAGAGTATCATATGTTTTAAGAAAAAGAAAAAGTATTGTCTATGAATCTTTTATCTGAATTTTTTTTTTTTTTGAGACAGAGTTTCGCTCTTGTTACCCAGGCTGGAGTGCAATGGCGCGATCTCGGCTCACCGCAACCTCCGCCTCCTGGGTTTAGGCAATTCTCCTGCCTCAGCCTCCTGAGTAGCTAGCTGGGATTACAGGTACGTGCCACCATGCCCAGCTAATTTTTTTGTATTTTTAGTAGAGATGGGGTTTCACCGTGTTGACCAGGATGGTCTCGATTTCTTGACTTCGTGATCCACCCGCCTCAGCCTCCCAAAGTGCTGGGATTACAGGCTTGAGCCACCGCGCCCGGCCAATTATCTGAATTTTAAATACACATACACATGTGAATCAGGTTGTAAATATATTCTTTCAGTAAATACATACTGTGCTGTCATGTAAAATAAATTTATAATCACTGCACATCAAAAATGTTTGTGAAACACCCCCTGAAATTTGTTAGGAGGAAGAGGATGTAAGACAATATAAACTTGTCATTCTTAATGTAATTCTGGTGGACAAAACTACTTACTACTATAAAATATAAACTTGGAATAATCAGGCAACACTACATCAAGAAGCTGTCAGGCTATTACGACAAATATAGATGCATTTAAGTAATTGTTGTTGTTTTAAAACCACTTTTTCCCTTCCCATTAAGTCACTGCATATGGAAGGTAAAGATAAATAGGACTTCTACATTTCTCAAGCAAGGTACTAAAGAGCAAATTTTAAAAGCTCAGTTAGACACAATAAGAAATAGATATTATTTCAAAACATACTTTCTGAAAAGTCAAGTATTCTTCCTGTAAGTACATGCTCTGGCAAGAAATGCTATTTGGAATTACCAGTAAGGCTTTCTACTTGTCAAAAGCAATTATTTTTATTAAATTTTCCTACTCTGAGGTAGGTTATTTATCATTCCCAATTTTACACAGTTGGGAAATTAGAGTAGAAAGACTACACCAATGACAGTTAAGTGAATCTGTACAAAAGCTCAAGTCCCTACTAACAGGGAAAGACCTCTACATGTCTAAATGTACATATTTTCTGCTAACCTAGAGAAAATTTAATTTGAAATAAAAAAGTAAGTATCACGAAGTAGAGACTAGTAATATACATAAGAAATGTAAGTCAAAATTTCCTGAGAAAGAAAAATAATAAAGACCAGAACCTTCCATTTACTTCTATTTTCCTACATTCTTAAACTCAGTATAAACATTGCTGGCCAGTACAGCTTTCTATAGTGACGAGGGCTAACTATTCCCTGTAAACATTAATTATTGCACTCTGCATATTTGGAATGAACTATATTTTCATATTAGAAGGTCTACTATACTCCTGTAACTTAAAAACAACAGATTGCTCTTACTGAAGACTCACAGCCAAGATTTACCTGGCCTCCCCATTTAGAAGATAAAGGCAGTTGACTCAAGTTGATGTTCAAGAAGTTATCAAAGAACTTTTTCATGAAACATAATGGAGAAATCTCTCAACTATCTTCCATTACTTAAGCACAATTAACCTCTTCAAACATGAGTACTAGGACCCACATAATGACTAAATGTGGAGACAAGTATCACTGACTACAAGTTTATTGCAGGAAAAGATCTATTCCAAAACCCTCTGGAAAACCATTAGATTTATTCTAATAATTTCGTACCTTTCTCCTCTGTATTTTATCACTAAAAAAAACCCCAAAAAACCCTTTATTAGTAAACTGCTTTAGCTATTCTCAGGGTGAATTCAAAATAGAATAGTAGTTTAGAGCATATTTCCCCTGTAAAGGAAACTTTCAAGCTCATTAACAGTTATTAAAAGGCTGTGAACAAGCCCTCTGGTCATTACTTCCCACCAACAGGGTCCTATAGTCTATTTGTAATACAGAATAACTAACCCCAAACTTCAATTCTGTATTATAGCTAGCTAAGGAGAAGGAGAAAGGAAGAAGAAAACGGTGAGACCAAAGGAATCGGGCTAAAAGGGGGCTTGAGTAAGTACAAAGGTGGGTGTGCTAATCTGAGGAGAAATGTCAAACCATGCTGTTTACTAGTTACAAGCCTAAGAACACATTATAATTTGATATATCTGTCCTTTAAAATTCCAGATGAATTCACTAGCAATTTAGTATAATTCTTTTTGTGTTAGGATTATTTAAATGGAGGAGAAAAGAAAGCAACTTACTTGCAGACCAGAGAAGTAAAAAGGAGGAGTTACTGAGGCGGTGGGAGACAGAAAAGGAAGAGGACAAAAAACTCCTTTTCCCATTGCTTTTATATGATGTTATTTGGTAGCAAGTTCATTCCTCATAAAGAAATGAACTTGCTACCAAATAACATCATATAAAAGCCTATACAAACTATTTTTCTTTAAAACAAAAGTACAGAAGGGAAGGAGAAGTATAGCAGCAAAAAATAAACTTCACGCCTTCTCTGGAATTTATGTTGATACTTCATAATTTTGGCTAATTCCAAAAAAAAAGAGATTTTCTTTAAATAAATAAAATTGCTAATTATTTTAAATTTCCTCCTTTTACACCAAAATGGATAATAAAAAAATTGAACGAATCACAAATCTGGATAAATCCTTGGAGAAGGCATAAAAGTATCTCTGATTGACTATATTTATATTTCTTTTAAATTAATAATAGCTTTTTATGGGTGACTTTTCAAAAAAGATAAAATATAACCAACTTACCAGGCATACTTAAGTACATAAAACAAAATAACCCCCACTGTTTTAGAAAGGAGAGTTAACATAAACAAAAATTTTAAGGTCAAACAATAACTAAATCATTAGAAATGTTAGTAAACCATGCATGTTCCAAAGCCATTTCTTCTGTGCTGTAAAGCTGATAAATTACAAAAACATCTTAGTTGTTTTAAACCACTTTTAGATAAAACAATTAGAAATATCTTTATTTTAGACGACAGTGAAATGCAATCCAAGCCCTTAATTAGGAAATATTTAAAGAAATGTGCAATGGTCTAGTAAGCCTGCTCCCTACACATTATGCATCTGTCCATCATACCACTGTGGATCATATGTACATTTTTTAAAACAATTAGATAACATAGTAATTTTTATTCACATATTTCAAGTTTTTGAAACTGTATTAAAGACAGATGCATGTCAGTAGGTCTAGGGTCACTGGCAATAAGTTTAAACAGTATTAGAATGAAATTAACCTCAGCTTCCATTAAGGCTCTAAGTGGAGGTCTGTTTACATGCAGTCAAAGGAAGTGTTAAGAGAGGAGACCACAGAGTGCTGCTTTAGCAGATGCCTGCAGAGCACTCAGGATAGGAAAGGAGGTGCTGGGGAGGAACAGGTCATGCATAAGGGAAATACCATGAAGGGGAAGCCAGAGCAGGATAGGAGTGAGAGACACAGACTCACTCTGTCTGCGGTGCGGTGGAACAGTCCGTGGGATCCCCTGGAAGGAGCCCTGCCAAGGAGAGAAGGAGGGAGCAGAATACCCACCCTGTGCAGAGAGAGATGGGGTAGGGAGGTATAATAAAAAAGGGAACCAAAAAATAGAGAAACCAAAGTCATACTTTGTTTTACTTTTAAATAACACAGAGCAATAGTGTTAACAAGAAGACAGATTTCATTTTTTAAAATACAGGCAGCTCAAATTGCTAAAAATACATCATAATCCAAACAGTTATTTTAATACTTTTAAAAAAAATATTCTCCTCTAATATTTGTAGTACAATGTAAAAAAATAATATATTCTTTCTGGTATACATTATATTTACCATCATATGTATCATTAAAGTAGCAGATTCCAGTCTTTTGCAGAAAAGGAAGGAATTTAAAGGGAGAGATAGACTTTAGGTGTTAAACACACAGAAAATGTATCAATTTATGAATCAGGCAATACAAAAAAAATTACCATACAAAAAATTCATTTCAGCCAGGTATGGTGGCTCACACCTGTAATCCCAGCACTTTGAGAGGCTGAGGAGGGTGAATCACAAGGTCAGGAGTTCAAAACCAGCCTGGACAATATGGTGAAACCCTGTCTCTACTAAAAATACAAAAATTAGCCAGGTGTAACGGTGGGCACCTATAATCCCAGCTACTCAGGGACTGATGCAGGAGAATTGGTTGAAACCAGGAGGCGGAGGTTGCAGTGAAGCCGAGAACCCCCACTGGACTCCAGCCTGGGCTACAGAGCAAGACTCCATCCCCCTAAAAATTTTTTTAAAAAATTTCTTCTTAAATCACAGGTTTTCAGAAGATTAGCAGGTAAAAATAAAGAATGTTAGCTAAAGGTAGCAAAACCAACACAACATTGAAAAAGATTTAGGATGTTGTAAGAGTAAGTACTATATAAAGAATGTGACATGCAGGCCACAGGTTACACGTGCATGCTTTTTAATTTGAATAACGTGTGGCTTTTTAGCTTTACTTATTTTAATCACAGATTATCATAACTATGATACTTTTGAAATGTCATTTACTTCAATTTCCTCACTTTACAGATAAAACTTTCTTCAAGAAAGTAACTGTTTAATGTTAAACAAAGGAAACCATATTGGGTCTTATGTCCCTAGCCTCCTCAGTGACTGAAACATATACACAAATGAAACTATTGAAACACTCTTAAAATATCGAGGAAAATGAACCTATAATCATCATACCCAGTTAAATCTGCAAAAGAAATTATGTATATTTTTTAGAGCAATTAATCCAACATAAAAAATGTTGTATGAAAAATTACTGATACAGTTTATCAGTGTTTTCAGATCTTATGAATGGTTTCAAATGAAAAATTTTTTCTCACTTTCTTTATCAACATTCTTTGACTCAGGTATAATCAGATACTTCTTTAAATTTAAGGCTGATCCCACATTGTTCAATATAAAGCAGAAACAAAAAAGATTCATTTTCTATGTTGATGAAGAAAAAAAACACCTACAAAAACTAAATTAACCATCTTTAGAATATCCTAAATACAAATATTATTTTTGAAATTTTGCTAATTTAGCAAAAACAGCTTAGAAAATATCGATTAGGGTGATGAACCCAGATGCTCTCCACAGATACTATGACCTGCTGTTCTGCTGTTTGTGAAATGTTTTGGTTCAAAGGCTTTTTACTAAACAAATTCTCAACCAAATCCTCCCCATGCATTTTGCAGAACCAAGCCTCTATCCACTGTACTACTAAGTAAAGAAATTTTCAGATGGGAACTTGATATATATGTTTAAGAAAACAGTCATAGATTCCTTCATCAAAGAGGTACGTTTACCTTTGAAGGTATGTGGAAATAGCACTGACCTTGGAGTCAGGGAAAACTGTTTTTTTCCCTTGACTCACAAGCCTTGTAACCTTGAGAAAATTACTGATTTTTGAGCCTCAGTCTCCTCATTTGTCAGAGGCAGAGGTGGGACTGGTTCATTTCGAAGAACGCCCTATTTCTATATTTTACTTAGTCATATCTGTCCCCATCTTCATTCCAGTCATTTTATAACTCTATTTTTAATTTTATAACTCTATTTATATGGCATTTAAAACAATCAACTTGGTATTAAATTGTGTCTTCTGCTATATAATTAATTCCTGAAATGATTTAAGTGAAAGTATCTGTCATAGTAGGAATTTTAAAAGATATTAAATGTCCCGCCTTCCATAGCCTAAAACTCCCCCAGCATAGAGCAGACACTAAGTAATTATTTACTGATTTAAACAAAATTAAATCAATTTACTGTGTTTATCTAGAGATGCATCTGTAGCATCTGCTAATCCTGGCCACACACTACAGCCACCTAAGAAATTTTAAAAACAAAAACAATGATATCTATCTTCATTTCCTCAAGACCAACAGATCATAATCTCTGGCACAGGCCTGAGCATGAGAAGGGAAAGACAACCTTGTGAAATAAATACATAAACAGCGCTGCCAGCGACTCCCAAGGGGCACCCATCTATTAGCTGATCAAACAGCTGTATGCCCCATCTAAGCTTATGCTCAGAAAGGCAAAGAATGTGACTCATTTTGTTTCTGCCATCAAAATGCCTCCTCCACTTCTCTACTCATCTGTTAAAATCCTATCCAGCTCCTTTAAGCTTTTTCAAACCCATTTCCTAAAAGCTTTTCCTGATCCTATGTAAATTATGAACATTCTTGTTCATAAACAGCCACCGATATTGGTGGAATCTTTCTTCCTCTTTTCATTACTTTGATTTGAGTATCTTAAAAATTATTCTACTAAGCCGGGCGCGGTGGCTCAAGCCTGTAATCCCAGCACTTTGGGAGGCCGAGGCGGGTGGATCACGAGGTCAAGAGATCAAGACCATCCTGGTCAACATGGTGAAACCCCGTCTCTACCAAAAATACAAAAAATTAGCTGGGCATGGTGGCACGTGCCTGTAATCCCAGATACTCAGGAGGCTGAGGCAGGAGAATTGCCTGAACCCAGGAGGCGGAGGTTGCGGTGAGCCGAGATCGCGCCATTGCACTCCAGCCTGGGTAACAAGAGAGAAACTCCGTCTCAAAAAAAAAAAATTATTCTACTAAATGTAACCACCCTGAGAATAATAGCTGTCTTACTTTCCTTGGTGTCAACTACTTAGCTTCTTGTCAATTTAATTACACAGCGTAGAAATAACATACTTGGATCAGCATTTAATAGAGAGAATTTCAGTTTCAGGAAAAGATGGAGTAGACACACTTCTCCCTTTTCCTGCTGTCAAATACAGCTAAAAACCCTGGGCACTATATGTAAAACACAATACTCTGAAAAAGTGAGACCAGCTAGGGACGTTGGGACCCAAGGAAAAATACCGTGATTCTCTTTTTGCCTTATGTATCCTACACTGAGTGGTAGAAAAGCCAGCACCTGGAAATGCCAAAAAACACAAAATTTAAGAAAGGCTGCACTCTCTAGCCAAAGGATCAGGAAAGAGGTAGCCTAGCAATGCAGAAAACTTGTATCCAGTAACCTGCCTAACACCACATAAAAACCTGGGGTCCCGGCCCCCATTCCCATCAGAAAGGGAGGACTGGGGAGTGTAGGTCTCCACCCTTGCATGGCTGTGATATTTTCTTATGTACTTCTTAAAATACATACAGAAAATATTTAAGACACTTGTAAATGAGGAAAGAAAAGGGACTTAAAGGGACATAAGGTTTCTATATGCAGTAGACTATACATAATTAAACACATATATGTGTGTGTAAAATACAATGCCTAGCACAACTAAAAATTAATATAAAGAGATCAACTCAAAACACTATATAAATAAAAATGGAATTATTAAAAACATAACTAATATACAGAAAAGAAAAAAGAAAACAGAAATAAATAAAATGGCAGATTTATGCCTAACATTAGCAATAATGACATTAAATATAAAGGGCTGAAATACACCCATTAAAAGACAGCTTGGTAGAGTAGATCATGACCTAACTATATGCAGACTACAGGAAATTCATTTTATGTATAAAAATTTATGTATTTTAAAGTAAAAGATGAAAAAGATACACCACATAAAAAAACTTCAAAGGAAATTTGGTGTGCTTATTATTATTATCAAATAAACTTCAGATCAAAAAGAATTCCCACATATAGAAAGGGACCTCACAAAATGATAAAAAGGTCAATCTAGCAAGAAGGCATGGTGATCCTAACAGTACCCCTAACTGCCAAATGTACAGTACCTGAAGCAAAATCTCATAAAGCTGAGAGAATAGCCAAATCTACAATTACAGTTGGAGAGTTCAATATCCCATCCCAACAACTGATAAAATAACTAGACGAGAAAATCAGCAATGATATAAAACTCAAAGACACCACTAACAATCAGCACCTAGTCAATATTTACAGAATATTATATCTAACAATAGCAAAAAGCTATCTTTTCAAGCGTTCACCAAACATTTACCAAGACAGACCATAGTTTGGGCCACAAGACAAACCACAACAAAGTTAAAATAATTGAAATTATACAGTATGTGTTCTTTGACCACAATGGAATCAAATTAAAAATCAATATCAGAAAGATAAGAAAAATATTTCCAAACACTTGGATACTAAAATTCATACCCCTAAGTAATCTATGGGTCAGAGAGGAAGTCTCAAGGAAACAAAAAACCCCACACTGAACTGAACGGAAAAGAAAATACATAATGTATAGGAAACAGTTGCAAAAATATATATATTATGTAGGACACAGCTGAAATAGAGATAGAAAAAAAGAAAAAAGTCTCGTCAATAAGCTAAACTGGTATCATAAAGAGACTAGACCCCCCAACCAAAACAGTCTGAGCAGCACCAATTAGCCGACTTTGGTCTTCCAGATATTACCTTTCATCAGGACTCAGAGTTATGAATGGCTGCTTTCTGACTAAGCCTCATTCTACCTTGAATACAAGAGACCCTACAAGTTAGGAAGGAATATCATTGCCCCTATTAAGCCAAAGGAAGCTACCGAAGATGGATCTTGGTCTCTCTACAACCTTTAGGGTCTCTC